CATGGCTATGGGCTCTGATGACTCACGTTAAACTCGGCCTTGTGCTACATCTACCCTCATGGTGGGGAGATAGTTAATATTGACTAGGCTCTCTGGCCTTGTGATGAAACAAAATGAAATGTAAAAAATGATAATCTTAATTTAAAATCGCAGCGAAGAGAATGAGAATTTTTTTTGTAATGTTTCCTGAAAGTTTGAGGGTAATAAAAAAAGAAATCTGTGGAAAGTCATGATCGCCTCCGTCTTGAATGTAAGAAAAATATATTCACTTGTATTATTCGACGAAATTTAGCTTATTTCCATAAATGTATGACTTACTTAAATTTGTTTATTTACGTTTAGGCATGAAATCATACTATTGAGATTATGATGCACAGAAACATTATATTTGAAATTGCATCCAAATTAAACGCTCCCTTTTTCATTCGCAAATGTTTCTTTGGAGACCCCGTATCCTATTAACGTATAATGAATTCTGTTCTACACAAGCAATTACAAATCAATCACTTTTGCAGAGAATACCATGGAAGGAACATATGAATAATGAGAAAGTTTTAAAAACAATACAAACTAAAACCTCGCTATTAATTATTATCAGAAAGAGACATCTGTAATCTGTATGACATATCAAAAGAAAAAATTACTCGGGAATGTAACAGGATATATTATATGTAAGCATTTAACACACATAGGATATATTGTAACATCGAGTAACCTACCTGAACTATACTTAATGTATACAAGGATTTTAGGACAGGAAGTGAGAGAAATAGGGAAAAAGACAAATATTCCTAACAGCTAGAAAGGATAGAAAGTGGCAGAGAGCCATGATAGGAGAGGAACGAAGTAGAAATCTTTATTTGCAAATGTTGACTCTCGGTTGAAAAACATGAAAGAATTGTTTCACAGAGAGCCGGAAAAACGGACATATAATAGAGAACAGATTTTTTTACACGTCCATATTTAAATCAGTCGAAATACGCTTTATTAAAAGGGATAGTATTGTCTTCTAGAAAAACAGTTTTAAACCCATTAACAGATATTATCGTCACAGTGTTTTCTCATGGTTATGCATTTGATATTTATATATGCTTGTATGGAAGAGTGAGTTATTTTTCTCATTATTTATTTTCTTATGAATGTCTTATTATTTGTTGTTGTTGTTACAATGATTCGGTCGTTTTGTCCAACGCCATCTTTAATTGTCTGTCCATTCGGATAACCGTTAAGTAATTTTGAACTGAACACTTTATTTTTATAAGAATATCCGTCTTAATTCATCTCAGTCACTCTCATGATTCAATACGCCAAAAAGCGCGAACCAACGCTTCTATATTTATTAGACTATAGTCTTGAAAAGCTGGAATTTTAATTTTACCTTCGGGACAATAACCTAAAGTATTAAAAGTGTTGTTATTTATTTTTATTTAGTGATATTTTAATTGGGGCTTCCAACCTTGAGCCAGGTATACCTAGTGGAAATGTGGTTAGAAATTAATGAAAGACTCTAAGCAACCAAGTCTATACATGGCCAGCGTAACGAGAGAAATGTAACTCCGTAGATTAAATAAACCTTGAAGTTCGAAATTGTTTGTATCTTACTTGGATAAAAACACAGTTGATCAAACCGGATAATTAATAACTGATATTAATAACTGCAAAGGTAAAACATTACACTCCTTATAAATAATTATTACCCAAGAGAACATTTTGTTTTGTGTTGTTGCTGCTATTGTTGTTGCTATTATTTTTTGCCATAGTTGTTGCTGTTGTTGTATAATACAATTTATATTTCTGAACTAATACTATGGATTTGAATAATTAGAAGATTATCGTATTAAGAGTTTCCAGTTTTAATTTCCGGCCAAGTAGATATGCCTCGTTTTCAATTTCCATCAAGTCGAAAATAATCTCCCAAAACCCATGTAAAATCTGTTACGTAGAATAGCTGTATAAATCTTCAAAATTTAACTATTTTAAATTTTTATTTTATGTCTTTTTAGAAGAAATACTGCCAAAAATTAAATAATAAAATAAAAACAGGGTGGTTTAGCATGGGCATAACCAGTTTTGACTCACAAATACATGTCCTTTGTAATGGGAAAACATTGCCAGCAGGATTCGCAACGAGTCGCAAAACGGCTAATTGCCGCTCGAAGCGATAATTATTAATATTTATGAGAAAGATATCAGAAAACTTCACTGAGTAAACCCTCCCTTAAAGATTCATACACAAAAGCAACCTATGGCTTGTTTTCCTTATGAAGAGTGCTGTACTTAAGGAAAAGGTGTGTCTCATTAGGCATATTAATGAGGCACAATTTATATATATATATATATATATATATATATATATATATATATATATATATATACTGTTTAAGAGTTGATATAAATTGATACATAATAGTCACCATTTAGAATTAGACAAGTGTCAGTATTTATTTACATTCTGTTGTTAAACACATAAAAAAGGAACAAATATTACTAATATCACTCCGCAGAAATATACAAGAATTTAAGCGTGTTTGTCCATCCCACAAGTAGAAAATGAAAATATGTTTTATATTCTTTCATGTTTAATTATTTTCTGAAAATTCTTCGTAATTTTTTTCTACTTTTCTTTTAAATGAACCAATTTCCAAATTGGCTGATTTCAAAACAGTCTTTCAAAATAAAAAACACACATATGCCTTTGGGATACACTTTCTATTTCTTTTTCAAGAATAAGTTTAGTAAAAACAGTAATGGATAGCGAGCAATTGCGAGATCGGACGACCGATTTCGAATCCCGGGCGAATTACATTACGTGCCAATAACCTTGTGAAAGGAAGGAATCAGTATCTTTCCCAAAGAGCTTCAGGTAAATAGGAGAACAAAGTTGATCCTATGTCTTTTGTTGACGACTAATCAAGGAGAATTCTGTGGAGGGTTAGGTTCTGCGAAGATATTTTTCCCAGGAAACACTTCTGCTAGATTCCAAAATTACAACATTAGAACTGCTGTTTTACGAACACCCAAGTTGAAGTTCATAATCACAATAACATTATGGAGATAAAAACTTACGTTATTTATACGAAAGCATCAGCTTTAAATTAATAGATAATTAAAAATTCTCACTTGAAATAATTCAAATTTGCTTTTATTTTAGTTTCATTCTGAGTTTGATTAATTTTTGTGACGTGTTTATCGCTATGAAAGCGTGGAAACATATACCATTTTAATTGCCAATAACAACTTTACTTGAATTATAATCCTTATATAGAATCAGTGACGATTCTTTTGTTTTAAGTTTCTTAGTAAAGAAGAAATGACATTGTCGAAACAAAGAAAAATATATTGACGTCAATTTCATGAGAAATGTTATTGATGTTGTCTAGTTTCTTTCATATCGATAATTTGCTCGACATACAAAACTGGAAAGAAAAACTCGAAAATAATTAATCTAACTCTTTCAAAATAGTCGGGATCGTAGAAAAATATAAAATAAGTCTTAGACATGCTTGGTATTAAAGCAAAGATACACATAGACAAACAACCATATATATATATATATATATATATATATATGATTGTTTGTCTATATGTATCTTTGGTTTAATAGCAAGCATGCCATCTACATACAGACCCATTTCGCTGTATCACAGCTCATCAGTGAGGCTAGACATCCGATTGCTTCAAGCCGGGATCAAACCCGACCGATCTTGCATCAGTCGGAGTTTCTACCACTGAGCTCTCTGCACAAGGCAGAAGTGAAGTGAAATTCCAGTGTATTATTTTTACGAATGTAAATAAACGTTAGACAGCCATAGTGCACAATTAATTTAATGAAGAGCGTTGAGTTATCGGAGACGGCTGCTGTTTAGAATTACCCTCTCTCTCAACAGTGCTCGACCGAAATTATCGAGAGCATAATAATCTCATCCAAATACAGGCCTGTTCGCTGTATCACATCTCATCATTGTGGCTAGATATCCGATTGTTTTAAGCCGGGATCAAAATGTCAACTTAGAACTATTAGAAAAGATCCAAATCAGTGCATAAGACATTTGGCACAAGAGAGAGAATTTCAGTTATGACTAGAGCAGTGAAAATGACTGAAAAGTGAAATCATACGTGAAACCCGTGAGACAAATTAACTCCTGAGCTGAAAATTATATTTTATAATGGACGAAGACCATCATGGATAAGTTCGAAATCTTAACTCTGATTAATTAATTAAGAAACATGCCATTATCATCTATGATGGATTTCATCACGATACTTGTGTTAAGATTGAAGAGCAGTTATACATTTTTATTAATCAAAGTAGAGTCCGATAAGGTTATAAAATCCTCGGAGAATTCCAGTAAGATATCTTTAAACATTTCTAAGATATAATGCTTTATGATCTTAATCTAACAATTGGACAATTTTGCTGTTACACACACACTACAGATATATATATATATATATATATATATATATATATATATATATATATAAATCAATTCTCCCGAAGCAAGACAGTAAGGCTATTAATAATCAAGGGGCTACTAGGAGTGAAAGAGAAGAAAAAAGTAAACGGCGACACAATCTTAAATAGGAAATAAGTAATAAACTTCTAATTATTGTAAGTATTGTATACATTATGCTATATATATATATATATATATATATATATATATATATATATATATATATATATATATATATATCTGTGTGTGTGTGTGTGTGTGTGTGTGTGTGTGTGTGTGTGTGTGTGTGTGTGTGTGTGTGTGTAATTATTTAGTTGTGTTGGGCCTGGATATGTAAAATACTTAATACAAATCGTGTGAAAAGAAATCACAGATTTTACAGGCTGTCTGACATGTTTCATTGTCCACCGAAAGATATGATCCGACATTCTTACTTGAATGCTGTAAAAGCCATACACTAGAGGGAATGTTTATGAGCGCAAGAGGTAAAGCGCAAAGGAATAACAAGAAGAGTACCTAAGAAGCCGATAGAAAGTAAGAAAATCAAGTATGAAAAGAAAAAAAGGAAGTGAAATGTCGTGAAAAAGAAAGATTAAACCAAGTCTCATGTAAAAAGTGAAAGCAAAGAAGAAGATGAGAGAAAGCATACATGATCAAGTAAGAAAGAAAGTCTTCGTTGAAAAGAAGAAAAAAACACCTTAAATAATCAGTCAACATTGAAACGTCGAGTGAATGCGATTTTAGCAGAAAAAAAAAGTTACTAATGCCTAATGAAATGTCTATCCCTGCAGGCAACGCTGGGAGCAATTTTCGTCCCCCAGCGCGAGTCGGCATGTAACTTTGGGTTGAAGGCTTGACACAAACATATGCAGAAGTTGACGGCCTTAAACACCGACAGGTTTTAACGGGTTTGGGGTGATGGCAGTGGCTCTGACACTGACAGGATGTGATTTTGGGAGTTGATGTTGAAAGAAACTGAAACACTGCATTAATATGAAGCCGGGCAACAACGAAGACAACGAAGAATGCTTTGAAATACATAAAGGCAGGAAATATAAATATGTAAGTTGGTGAGTGAGTGTTTAAAAATTTACAGTTCAAAAGTCCGGCCAGAGAATGTGAGAGAAATGATAGAAGAGAAGCCCGTGATGATAAATGCTAATGGTAATCTTAGACGATTCCTTATAAGGAAACATTCGACATTCTTTGACAAAAAGCGTAAAACGTAACTTGATTGGCACTGGCTGTTTAAGCCAGTGCCACTTATATTATGTTTTACATTACTCGTTGACAATAGAACTGTGATTAAAGTGTAGTTCCTATTCCTCTCATAGGCTAATTGGGAGCTCATGGATTGAGAAGCTAGTGCTATTCAATTTACACTTTCTTTAAACCTGAGCCCTAGGGCTAAGATCAAACTGTACTATATGTTTTCATCCTCTCAAACGTTAATGTCAATATTAGTCGTGATTGCAACAACACATATGAGTGCAATTTTTCACATGTAAATAGTGTAAATGATGCATTTTTCTAGTCAATAATAGTTGTGTAATTTCGTGAATATTTTCAATATTAATTTTTCTTAAATGACCCAACGAGCTTAAATATGAAAATCTGTAAATCTCCCAATGGAATTTTGTGAGCTGAACTAAATTATAAAAGGTTTTGTATATTTGTAATTGAATACAGCGATGTTACATATGTATTATTGCTTTCAGATTTAGTTATTTTATTCAGAATATATCGTATGATGGATAACATTTGTTTATAGTATTAGCATTTCAGTTACTACAATCATGTTTGTTGTTAACACTAACATTGTGACTAAGATGAGGTAAATAATCCGAATATAATTGATGTATGATATCCAGAATCATGAATCCAGTTGAGGGATATCAAAATATTGCATCCATAGCAAGACAGCCTGCCGAAACGCAATCCAGTCCAAGTTTGAATTCAGTTTTCTTTCTCCTAGAATGGTTGTCAATCAATCTCATCTGTCCTGCTACTTATCTATAGCAGATAGCAAAAGATGGATTCATACAATTCACAAGGGTATTAGCACGTATGGGAATCAAATGAACTCATCTGGAATTCGAACACAACATTACGATTCCTCATATGGAGTCTCTATTCATTAATCACCACGCATCCTTGCATGCTATTAGAAAATTTTAAACTCTTATGTAAAACGTTTTATATTGTTGTTTCAATTTATATTAACTCGCTCTCTGTATGATATTTATCCATTATACTATAATACTAGTTAATCTCTTTAATTCTGCATATATATATATATATATATATATATATATATATATATATATGGAGAAATATAGTATTAAGGTGTGCTATATTTATGGGATAAATTGCTCAATATTAACGATAGAGCGTATATAAATATAAAAGTGAACATTGGAGTCAACACACAGAGGCGACTGGCATTTTGATGCTAGACGCAATCGTCAGGCCGCCTGTGAGTGTTGACTTCAATGTTCATATATATATATATATATATATATATATATATATATATATATATATATAGAGAGAGAGAGAGAGAGTATGTATATATATATATATATATATATATATATATATATATACGAAGAAATATAGATGCGGTATATTGATGGGATGAAGTGGTCAATATCAGTTGATAGAGCGTATGTAAATATAAAAGTCAACATTGAAGTCAACATTCAGAGTCAACATTCATATCATTATTTTAGTGGATGTCCGTATTTGAGTAAACGCTCCTTTTCTTAAAGATTGCATATTGCGTCTATCTTACTACACACCTGAGAAAACAAAGAAAATCTGCTCTCCAGCACGATTAGAATCTGTGTCTACACTTTGCAGAAGAAAAAACCCTCGTTTCATCCGTCATGCTCTGAGGGCTCGTCTATGGACCCCTTCACAATTAAGCAAGTTTCTATTTTTATTAAAGCACATTGAAATGTTCAGGTTTTTCCGAAAGCTATATCTGCCCAGTTTCGCATCCGAAACGTAAACAAAGCAATTTCTAAAGAATTAATGTATTTTTATTATTTCTTAAGTTTTCTCGAGGGTGCAGGACAGTACATGAAATAAATAGAGTTTAAAATAACGGAGCCTCACTGAAATCCGAATATCTACTACAAACTTAGAAATGACCTATATATACACATATATATATATATATATATATATATATATATATATATATATATATATATATATATTGATGCATGTTTTATTAAATAATAAAGACATGTTTTGTCTATTTGTTTTATGTAAATTCTTTACATATAGTCTGATAAACTTAATAAGATTATCATTAAAAGAAGAAAGAAAATCACAATATTGATACATATTTTTTAATCCTATCTAAGATTTCGGCTTACATAGGCCATTATCAAAGATGACAATTGTATTACAATATATTAAACAATACACGGACAAAACAATAATGATAGTCTGTTTTTGTTTACATGGAAGATTTCAAACAACAACAAAACCGTGCAAGCGAAAATAAACACACAATATATATATATATATATATATATATATATATATATATATATATATATATATAGAGAGAGAGAGAGAGAGAGAGATAGATAGATAGATAGATAGATAGATAGATAGATAGATAGATAGATATTTTCAAAATCGTGTTCTTATTCATATAATCTATTCTGATTTTTACATTCTTCTCTTCTTCAGCTGTTATACACGTTTCATCAGAAATATCGTCTACATATACCTCCTCAGAAATGCATCTCACATAACGGCAATACATTCCTGGCAATGGTGTCTTCATCTAGCTAACGTCTTACCATTATGTGGAAGATATTTCTGGGGGCTATATGTGGGAGGTATTTCTGCCACATCATGTATGTTCACGACTCGTAACCAATATGGGTCGTTTAGGCAACATGTGTACTGTAGCCGTAGTATTGGGTGTGTCTAAGGCCAGTTAGCCGGATTGCACTAATCCTTCTTCTGGGTGGTTTTAAATTCAGTGTTGTCTTTCTCCAAGACTGTCCAAATACAGCTAACTAGCTCAGTCTTCTCTGTTATTTACGTGCTGCTGAATTCTGAGTTTTACTGCTAACCAAATCGGATTTTTCTCGAATAGCTGGAGGGTTATTTATAGCTTTTTCGAGTGCAATAATCTGAATTGAATGAAAGGGATTTTATGTAAGGATAACTAAAGGGCAACTGCAAATCCAATTTATACATATTTCTATGTTTGCATCCATCTTAGTTTTTATTCTTCTATTGAAATACTGTGTTCTTATACATATAATCTGAAAGTTATTCCTATTATATAAACTATATATTTCTATTCTCATTATATATTTCTATCCAAACTTTGATTCTCTTCCTCATATTAACTTATTCTCGATATCTGCCATTTACTCATCTCTTATATACATTTTTGTATTCTTTCATTCTTGTTCGTATAATTATATTCTTTTATTCTTATTCACATATGTTTTTATCTTCTGTTTTTCGTGCTCATATGTTTACTTGTATCCTTTTGTTATTTATTGACATTGTTTTTTTTTCTTAAACGATTTATTCTTATTCATATTTTGTTTTAATTCTTATATTCTTTTCTCGATTATTCTGGTCTTTATCCATTCATATTATATATCGAGATATAAACGTGGGAATTTTGCACGCGATATTGTAATAACGGGCCTATACGGTGGCTACAAATATTACTAGTGTCTGCACAAAGTAATATAGCCTAAAGATGATGTCAAATCTAGCCATTAGAAAACAGATAAGCGCATATCATATTCAAAGCACAGACACCGCTTATAGTGGTACTGACTAGAGGGAAATACTTCAATAGAATGAAACAAAATGCAATATAATCTCAGTTAATTCCCGAATGTCTACAGATACGTACGTGTGCCTCTGAGTGGATAGAAAGAAACAGAGATAGTCTGTTAAAAGAAAGAGCCTTACGATTGACGTCACTAGCGTTTATATAAGAAATGGATATTGCTCCTTATAGATGTTTTCTCTTCCTTTCGGCCGGATTGGTCACCCTTCACGCCAAATAAGATTGTCTTACAAAACTAATATATACTTTGTTTGCTCATACTTGAAATTACTATTTATAACACTTCATAAAACTAGTCCGAATCTTTTGTTTTTCGTATTAAGCCATTTTTAGATCTAAGATTGTATTTTCCTTGTATGCAACACAAGCGCCATGGTCGAGTTCTCTTTCAACTTTTCGTTTCTTCTGGCCTGCGTCTTAAATGACAACGGTGCGTGATTTTTATGATCGACCAACATTCTCGCTGCTAATTATTCTGCGTTTCATGGTTCATTGGAATTGTTTATTAAATCGATCCGTTCATTTCGCGGAAACGAAATGGCGCCAGATATATTCAATCTTTTGTATGAGTTACATTCTATTAATAAAAACGGTAATCGATTGAATATGTCCTCACATTAAAATCATATATTCAATGGTTTATGCTCCTCAATGCTTCATAAAAATTCTTTGTTTACCGAACAATTCAGTAAAATCTATGTTTGTATGAACACAATGACTAAGTTGAAATATTCTGAACAAGTTTTGCATTTGTGATGGCGATAGTGCATTCAAACTGCCATTTTTGATAGCTTCTTTAGTCGAGCTAAAGAAAGGAAGGTGCAAAGAGTGCGTTGTTTATAGAGTGATGAGGAACAGGGATTTATGATTTTATATTATTTTTATGAAAGGATGGGAATAAATGTCGAGCTGAAAAAAATGCAATAAATATTACAATTGTTTTTGCTGCAAAATTTAACACCAAAAATAAACTTGTGCCTATTGCAGGAGGTCATATAACAGCAAAATTTTCCAAATGCTCCAGCGTCCTTGGTATGACGATAAACTACATTGATTGGATGTTCTCACCCTTTGGGAAACGGTTCTTTTGGGTGGATCTTGTCTTCAAGATCACAGAATTTACCATAGAAAATCCTTAATAGTTTTAAACCCTTTTTTGTACAATTTCCATTGAAAGATCTGCTCTAGGTTTTTACTG